CAAGGCCAAGTACTAAGTGTTTACAAGATTTAGGGAGAAGAACCAATGAGAAAGGTGATCACTTTATGGTTTTCCAAAGAAAGGGAGGCAATGCAATGTGAAGAGGCTGATTAGCAAGAGTCTCACGTAGAATCAGAAATATGGCCTAGGCTAATCGCTATTTATAGTCCTCTTAAGTTTAGACACAATGTATTAGCACTAATAGCTCCTCTAATCATTTTAATCTAAAACTTTAGATTCTGAATCTAGCTATTTTTCTAGGATTTATCATATTTTTATTCTAATTTTCGCATCATTTTGCCGGTACGCGCTTTTACGTAGCTGGTATCAGTCCCGACGCTAGTTCTCATTATTTTGACTCCAAACTTGGTATACCATTCCTAGATATTATTCTAGGAATATTCATATACTTATTATAATTTTTCAGGATACTTCATCGGTACGCACTTATACACCGTGAAGCAGGACCGGTATCTACACTTTTCATCAGAAAAGCGACTTTCAACATTGTTAAGCCCTTATAATAATTATTGAAGTCTCCTCATACATATTCTACATCAATAATGGAATAATTTCCTAAACTCACATTTAAATAATCAAATTCCTAAATTAACGGTGTGGGTTCTTACAATATTGTCATCACAGGTAGTGATAGTCATGGGATCACTCAGTTGAAACAACATTTATGTCACCATTTTCAGACTAAGGATCTTGGGAAACTTTGATATTTCTTGGAAATCGAGGTGGCCCAATCTAAAGATGGAGTCGTGATATCTCAGAGAAAATAGGCTCTGGATATTCTTGAAGAAACTACTTTGTTAAATTCTAAAAGTCCGTTGATACTCCTATGGATCCAAGTATCAAGCTTCTACCAAATCAGGGGGAACCCTTTTCAGATCCTGAGCAGTATAGAGGATTGGTTGGAAAATTGAACTACCTCACAGTCACTCGGCCTGATATTTCACTTGCAGTTAGTGTGGTAAGTCAATTTCTTAATTCTCCATGTCAAGAACATTGGAATGTCGTCATTCGTATTCTTACGTATATCAAGGCATCTCCATAAAAAGGCCTTGAATATGAAGATAAAGGTCATGTTAAAGTTGTTGGGTACTGTGATGCTGATTGGGCTGGTTGTCTAGCTGATAGGAGATCTACTTCTGGGTATTGTGTCTTTGTTGGAGGCAACTTGATTTCTTGGAAAAGTAAGAAACAAAATGTAGTTGCCAGATCAAGTGGTGAAGCGAAATACCGCTCCATGGCTACTACTACTACTTGGAGCTCGTCTGGCTTAAGCAACTTCTTAGAGAGCTTAAGTTTGGAGACATTGGACAGACAACTTTCATTTGTGATAACCAAGCAGCTCTGCACATTTCGTGAAATCCAGTGTTTCATGAAAGAACCAAGCATATAGAAATAGATTGTCACTTTGTTCGAGAAAAGGTTCTTGCTGGTGAAATTACAACTAGTTTTGTACCCTCTAATGATCAATTAGCATATATATCTACAAAGTCTTTGAGGGGTCCTCAAATAGAGTTTATATGTAACAAGCTTGGTGCATATGATCTATATGCTCCAGCTTGAAGGGGAGTGTTAGAAAGAATGTATCTTTTGTATATCTGTAAATATTTATTTTCTTATTTCATTAAGATTTCTGTTAGGTCTGGGCTAAGCCCATTAGTGTATCTATATATTTTACACCTAGTATCAATTCAATACTACACAGATTTATTTCAATGTTCCTCTCTTCTCTTGTTATTTAACACTATACATTTACACATTCTGTTGTATTCTGATATATGGAATTACGGTAATTAAATTTAAGGAAGGGGTAAGTTAATATATTATGGATGCTATGATACATGAAAATAATATCTGAGAGTGTCAAGTTAGCAAGAGAAAGTTAAAGCTCCTGTGAGAATTGTAGCATTAAATATGGTAAGAGTTTTTGCAAGAATTATGGTATTTGATAACTTAAAATAATAAATTGATATAAGTAAATATTGTACAATTGTTTGTGAGTAGAATCCTGTAATGTATATGTTTTAAATTTGTACTGCTTAAATTAATAAACAATGACAAAAAGATTGTGTGATGAATGTGTGTGACTAACTGCAAGATAATAAGTAAATGAATTTGTTTGTAAAAGTTGCATGAATTATATGTGTTTCTATTGTTCTACGTACACTGACCAATTATGCAGGAAGTTTGAGAACAAGAGAACATTCTATAAACATTTAGTTTATTGGGATTATCAATCTCACTCCGCTCATCGAGCAGAGGTTCATCAAAGAAAAAGGAATCAGAATAAAAAAGTCAGCGGGACACATGTGTCACTTGGATGTTTTGGATATGTTAAAAGATGTTGCACATCTATTATTGTTACCTATGTGGCTTGCGAAATGAACATGTGGTGTTGTGATATATGTAAATTATGGTTTGTATCTTAAGAACAGATTGTGGACTAGTGGCATCAGCAGACGGGTAGTACGCTACTATTTTATACCTGTAGGATGAAAATATTATATGTTGTGTTTTGGATGGTTTTGAATTTATAGGTGAGGAGATGTTTCATTTTGTCCAGATTACGAAGGTTATGTTGTCTGCGTTTCTTTAAATAAAGGTTTATAGGATTTGAAGTAAGATTTTAATAATTTGCAAATTATGAACAATAAAGGAATATAGGAAAAGTTTTAATTGATAACTATCATGATATGTACAAGGAGTCTTCTGCAATTATTTTATTTTGATGCATACTCTGAACCGTTAAGGGTGTGATATCTTGTTTGAGAAACGGGGTGTTACACTGTGGGTTCAAGGAAATCCGAATAGAGGTTGGTTAAGGCTTGATTTGGTTGTGGATTGGGTGTTTTAGGGTACAAGAGAGAGAAGGGGCTTGAGGTTCTCCTTTGTTATTTGTTTCTACTGGTAATGAGTAACCTTCGACAGGTTAGCACTATTTCTTTCTTTCTTTTGCTTTCCTATTTCTCCCTCACTTCTTTTTGTTTTTCTTGTGTTTACCCTTCTAAACTTGACTTCTCCATTGGGCTTTGGGATTTGAATAATTTGCAACAAAATGTTGAATCATCCCACTAAACATTTTTTCTCATTATTACGTAAAAATAATACAATTTAAGGACCTTACTATTTCTTTTTAATCCAAAGAATAACCGACCCAATTAGAGTTATAGCCCTTTTTTAGAGACTTAACATACATGATTGAGGAATTGGATTCCTAAGATATGCCAAGTCTAGGAATTGGGTTCACAAAATAGGCTAAATAGGGGACGCTATTGCAAGGTACAACGCTTTAATACTGAGAAGAATTCACGTTACAAGTAAATCCATACTTACGAAGGTTGATAACAAATAAATGTTAAATATGATGACATAACAAATAAATAATTATAACTTATGTGTAAGAAAAAAATTACAATATGTACTAAATTACTAATGTTTTTCATTTAAAAAAATTAAGGATGTTGCAGTTCTCCCACACAAACGGATGGCAAATTAAAGTGGTGAATAGGAGCACACATTCAGTGCCGCAGCAGTAGATATTCCCTTATCAAAAAGGAAAAAAAAAAAGATATATAAAAGAAAATAACTATAAAAATAGAAATAGTATAAATATGTTTTTTTTATTTGATAAAAGATATATGGAGAATTGCTCGGTACATCTGTACCACTAACAATATTTTTGGTGAATAGAACCCTGGATAACCTATTTGTAGTGTTTCATTAATGGACATCTTAAAGGTTGGGCCCAATGGATTCCGTGGTCAAAATTTTGGTTTAACATCACATACAGTTGTTCCACTCAAATAAGTCCTCTTGAGGCCTTGTATGACTGAGATCCGCCTATGATATTGAGATTTGATAAGGGAACGACATCTGTGGAGGCTGTGGACCAATGGCCGGAGGCGAGGGATGTGGTGTTGGAGGAATTAAAACATAATTTATGCAAAGCACAAGAGAGAATGAAAACATGTGCTAATAACAACAGAAGGTAGGTTTTATGTGAAGTAGGGGACAAGGTGTATATGAAGGTTCAACCCTATAAACTTAGATCCTTAGCTTGAAAATTGAATGAGAAGTTGAGTCCACGATTTCATGGTCCATTTGAAATAATTAGGAGGGTAGGATTGATAGCTTATGAATTACAACTACCTAATCACTCCAGGTGCATTCTGTATTTCATGTCTCATGATTAAAGTGGGCAATAAATACTTATATACTTGTCCTGAAACTCTCCATATGTTAATTTGAAACTTTGGAATTACAGGTTCAGCCAGCTGCAATCAAAGATGCGTGGAAACGGCTGAATGGTAGCATTGAAGCTGCAAAATTGGTGCAATGGGAGAATCTTCGGAGGGTGAGATGTCATGGGAGGAAGTGAAACGCTTCAGGAACAATTTCCATTATTTCAGCTTGAGAATAAGGTTGAAGTTAGGCAGGGGGTATTGATGGGCCCTTGAAGTTTGTCTATCAACATAAGAAGCTAAAGAATACGGCCCAAGACTAACAAACAAAAACCCTCAATAGTGACTACAGAATAGAGGCATAGCGAGATGGCAATCTGCGAATAGGGAAGAGAAATTGAATGCAGTGGAATTGAGAAATGAGGTAGTTATAGAGGGATGGATGGAAAGGAAGAAGGCACGCATGAAATTAGATTTTTCTGATTGGAGAATCGGGATCTCCTTGGGACTTGGTTTGTGGGATTTTGAAGAGCGAGCTTTGGGACTCTTTCTTCTGTATTTCCACTATTTTCTATCTTGTTATTCCTTTTGGTGGTCATTGCTATTCTGTTATGGCCAAATTTTTCTGTTTCTCGTTGCTTCTTGTTGAGATACCTAGTAGGAGCTAATATCCAGTCTTTTTTTTTTTTTCTTAAATTTCAATTACTAATTGTACCATTACTATTTAATCGGAATTTAAAATCGAACAGCTAGGTTGAAATCGATGGAAGCGCCGAGCTCAAGGATTTTTAGAAAAACCGCCAAATGCCAACAGAAAAAATGAGTAGAAGTTCATCTAGAAAATAGTGAAGGATATCCAAAATGTAAATGTAAAATAGTTGATAATCGTCCCTCAAATTAAAAATCATCCGAAATATTTCAATTGAGGCCTGATGAACAAATTTGCTATTCGGTTAGATGATCGTAACTCCTCGAGGAAATTGACTACTACATGCTGCTTCCTGCGCAGCTAACATTTCTCCATTTATGGTGGCCCGCACTGCTTTCCACTGTTATCACAATAGTGCGTTTTTCATACCACTAAACCTGCTTCAGAAGAGCAAGTTTGAAGGAAAACATGCATCATGTAGCGAAAATAAACACCACAACTCCTTTTTCTTTCTTTACCTTTTAGAGAGCCATATTCTACTAAGGGGAATGAGAATGACTAGAAGTCTTAGTTTTTCTTCCTTCTCGATACTATCTCTGACGCCCAAGCTTTGCCAATTTCAGTCTGGAACTTCCCTGCAAAAGGGTTGATGACAATTAGCCAGGGAAAGATACACAAATTTTTTTCCCAAGATCAACCACAAAAGCAAATACCTTTCAATCTTGCTTAAACTCATCAAGAAATTTGGTTAAAAGTATGATCACGCTCGACAATTTCAGTTAGAATTTGACAAAAATCAAACCAGAGGACAAAATGCACACGTTAGCAAGTTTAGGAATTGCGCTGCACCTTTTTGAAGTTTCAGGACCAAAGTACAGATGAACATAAGTTAGAAAAGGTAAATTGAGATTGTCCCTCGGGTAAATAATACCTTTCATAACTACATTGAAGAATAGTAATTTCATTTCATCTCAAGATTGGAACCCCATTTTATTGAGACAGAAGTGACCAGAAGTACAAAAACTATAGATGAAAATGGAATTTCTTTTTAATGACAAACACCACAATATATAGCCTAGGTTTCGTTATTCAAGTTATGGTTAAATAAGTAATCTCAATTTGAAATCCATATTCCCATTAAACGAAGATTTACCATGAACCTGCAATACCAAAAGAAATTCAACCTAAAATGGGAGAAAAAAGTCTGATGACATTCTACAAGAGCAGACACTCATCGAATTTGAAACATCATCCATACAGTGAGATTTTGTGGCTCACATATTCAGCCATGTCTTTCTTTGGTGACTTCGAATTAAATCTACTGATGACAAAATCAGACCAACTACCAAAATACTGGCTAAATATCAATTGATCAATCTTCTATCTTGCATACCATCTCTCAAATTTGAGAAAATTTTCAGATAGCATAATGTAATTTCCACAAAATGTTTTGTCGTTTAGTTTGAAAAATAATGCTAAATAACACATTGAGTAGGTAGTTATTATAGTAACTAAAAATATTTTGCAATCTGTTCCTTCATGACTGAAAGTAGTGATAAAGTTGTTCATTCATGACTGAAAGGTCATGAGTTCGAATCCAGGAACCAGCCTCTTTGCAATTATGCAAGGATAAGGCTACACACAAGGATTGCCTCCACCCAACACTCGCTAGTCGGGTTTAACGGGGAGTGGTTTTTTAATTAGCAATGGCTGTTAAATCAAATTACTGACTCTTACTCGAATATCTCCAAATTAAGAACATTAAAAGGGAAAAAACACAAGCAAACACGAAAACAAGCCAAACAGCATTTAAAGATCTGGGTTTAAACTGTAGTTTTCAGATTGTTCCTGTAGAATGAGATTTCTGAATTGCTTGAGGAATTACCTCAGCAGGCATTCTATTTATACACAAGGATTTACAATCTCTAATTAAAAGAAAATTAAAAATCAAATCAAATCATAAACTAATTACATAATAACATTCCCTTAATAGGAGATATATGAACTATTTCCCTAAATAGAAGTTATTATCCAACAGTTCCACATTTTTCCAAAGTTCAGGTCACCTTACCCATAGTTATTATCTGAGTGTGAACCTTGCCAATTAAGAAATATTAAACAAATAACTTTATTTCCAAATGAAGAGGAAAATCATACCAGCAGTTGACTGGAAAAATTCAACCAAATCCTTTCCCTGTTCTGAACAAAGCCATGAGAGAACATATTTCAGAACTAAAAGAAGATCTAAAGCATATTTGTAGATACTGGTATAGACTCTAGAATATAGATTATGTGGAAAGTAGAAACTCATGTGAGGCATGTCCTAAATTCAAATCATCCTTGCTGAAAAATTATTTTACTCTTGTGTATGTTTTAATGCTCAACAATTAACAAATAATTCACAAGACTTGACAAAAGCCGGTAGATAATCACAACAAAGTGAACAAAGTGCTAAGAAAAAAAAAAATTGAAGAAGCCACTGACCATCTTCATATTCCAAGGCTTGAAGGATCATCTCCACCTGAATGGGACAAATTTAAAGGACTCAGTAACTAGAAGTGTGCATGGTAGTCTGAGACCAAAATGTTGCATAATCATTACCAGATGATGTTCTCAACAAAACTATTTAACAGAAACCATTAAAATCTGTTGCATGATGGAGCATTGAAGATTAATTGTATTACTTTCGTCTTTTTATTTGCAAACCATTACATTACAATCACTTGGGGAGAAAAAAAAGCATATTCTAAACTGATACTTTAATTAAAAAAAACAAGGGAATTGCCAGTGAAAAACAGGAAGTAAAAAATATGTTGGAACAGCCATAGTAGTTAATTGCGCCGCAATAGCACCGGGAGCCGCGCTGTATAGGCGTTGCAGTGCCTCGCCGCAAGAAACCGCGCCGCACCACACCGGAACGCAATAGCGGCCATTGCAATCGCATTTGCGGCCATATTGCTGTCATAAGGCAAAATGTCAGTTTTGTTCTAAATTTAAATGTGTAACAGATAAAATTTAAGGGTTTTTTAGTCTATCTGCGTCTATCTCTGTCGCTTCTGCTATCTCTTCCTTTAAAAAATGTTTATTTTTGTCATTATTTCTGTCATATATCTATTCCGCTATTTCCGCAACCGCAACCCGCTATAACGCTATAGAGTTTTTCGGGATTGGCCGCGACATGCCGCAATCCGCATTTGATAACTATGGGAACAACACCATCACATTGTTACATCTTCTACCATTTTTATTTCCTTCAGATAGTTAATATTATGAATCAGACGCATGATATGTTTATTTGTACAAACAAGAAGCTACGCATAGAGAAGTTTAAATAAAGACAAGAATATCACAAAAAGCCTAAAGAAAAAGCATATAAAGATGTGAAAATAGTAATTAAAATTAGTCAAAAGGTAATCTCGAATCTAAGGGCAATTGCTGAAAGACAGAATAGGAAAAAATCAACAAACCTTGTCAAGATCCTTGACAAATTTGGCTTCTGGAGAGGAATTTGCTTCATATTCTGTCCACAACTCAGCTATTTCCTTGGCTTGATTATTGAAAATGGATTTAAGAACCAAGACAAATGAGTTTATTTTATTTACTCATTAAAAAAATTATTTAAAGAGTGAAAACAAAGTACCTCTAGGTCCACCACCAAGCACTTTACACATATGATCTAGTGCTTCTTGCTCCCTTCGACTTTTTTCTTCTTTTGAAATTCCGTCTGACGGGGTTATGTCCCCAACAATTGCTGTTAAGAAAGTGCTCAAGTAAGAGCATCAATTTATAGCTCTGAAAGAGAGAACATGGGGAAGAAACAAGAATGGCGTAGTAATACTCACATTTTAAAGCTTCTAGAGATTTGAAAATCCAAAATATAGAATTTTTATAGAAAACAAATTCGGGATTAAAAAATATTGTGATTTTGTATGCAGCAAATCAACTGCTGCAGTTATGCAATCAAGTTAATTCCTGTAGAAATTTCAGAATCTTCTCAAGTTTTCAGCAAGAGTAAAAGACTAACCATACTGAGTAGAAAGTGTATATCTGTGTGTATGAGTTCCCAGGACAATTCAAACCAGCAGAACTTAATGCTATCAACTCATAAACCAATTATATTTAACCTTAATTTCTCCTTCCTTTATCTCATTCTCTTCACAATCTCTTTACAGCCAAATTCATCCAATTTTGGTCACATCACGAAGTATAACACTACCGAGAAACAGAACCTTTCTTTCCAAATACAGACAAGTATCATGACCACAAAAAAAAAAAAAAGACAAAACAGCATACCTTCTGCAATGTCGTGAACAATAGCCATTTTTACACACCTAAAATTAACAAAAACATTTCTCAGAAAACTTACCCATTGCATTTATCATGTGCACAATTTTAAAAGAAATAATAACAAAAAAAGTAGAAAAAATGTGTGTGTGTTCTCAAACATATATATAGCTCAAGAAAAGGAGGGGAAATTAACTTGTTTCGATCCACGCCAGGGATATCTGCTGCAATCAGAGCCATCAAACCCATTCGATACATATGATCCGCTATAGATTCCGGATCCTCAACGTCTTTTCGCACCCATCCTGCTCTTTTTGTTGTCTATGTCAGATTACACACACGCACAACCCAAAAAGTTATCAGACTACAAATTAAAACCACAAATATTTTTTTACCTAATACACAATAAATGAAGCACAAAAAGGCAATAACGAAATAATGCAGAACTACCAAATTAAAAACAAAAATATATTAATTAAAGGAGAGTCAACATTATCATGATCTTCACCTTGAGGTGGTGACATATAGAGAGGAAATCAATGGCGGAGGAGGCAGAAGGAGCTCCGCCGTGAACGGTGGAAGAAGAAGGCGGAGGAGTGGTGCTAACCGATGACGACGGTGTAGATGAGGCCATGCGAAAAGCCCTAGCTGGTGAGTGAGGTGAAAGTGCAACGGATTTGAATCTGAGTTGAGTGAAAGATCGAGATGGTGTTGAGAAGAGTGAAAGCAGAACTCTACTTCCACTTCCCATTCTCGAATTTTTATTTTATTTTTTATTTTAATTTGAATTCACTTTTCTCTTTAGATTTTTGGCACTTTGCATATTCACCTGCGTTTGGGAGTTGGAAGAACAGTGAGCGAATGAATATTCGGCATATGCGAGAACTTGGGTTAGTGTATTTGTGCAGCCAATTAAGGTCCTACAACTCAGATTCTGAATTGTATCTATTCATATTTTTTTTCTTCTGTTTTTTTTACTAATTTCTCGGATAACTATTTCTACTCATTTTTGTTATATCAATCTCACGTTAATATTTATAAGAATTTCTATAATAAGAATATCCTATTATTTGAAGAATAATTTCATTAATTTTCTTGCACTGTATACTTTGATAAAAATGTGTTTTTTATTCTTTGATATTTGTTTTTTTGCTATGCTTTTTCATATCAATTTTAATTATTTTTTAAACATACCATACCTATTGTAATAATTGCTTTGTTATAAATATTAATCGAACTTATTAGCATGTCACCTTTAGATTTGGCTGTATGCAAAATTGTTTAAATTGATTTATTTTAAAACAATAATCTTTCTCTTTTTTTTAATTTCTGAAGAGGATTTAAAAAAATAGTTTTATAATTTAAGTTCTTCCAAACGATGAGTAATATCGACATTAGGTTTTTTTATGTTTTTTATTTTATTTTATTTTTTACTTTTTATTTATAAAAAAAAAAAAAAAAAAAAACGGGGCTTGGATTCTAGTGAGGATATTGAACAAGTTTAGGATAAAAATTTTAAAAGAAAATCTAAATGAAAATAAAAACATGTCAAATTGTGCTTCATATGAATGTTATGGATTGAAACTATATTTTTTTAGCGTAGTACATTTAATGGAATTAATGAGTATGGGCTAATAGCCCATTTAGTGGATCTTTAACTAAAGTTTCAAACAAACTGGTATTCTAATATTTGTCTGTCTCTAGATCACACAATAAGGGCATGTTTGGTATTATATAAACCTCACATAATTGAAAATATATAGTTATAATTGAATTGTGAATTAGAGGGTTTAATTGATAAAATCTTGAATTTCGGATGAAAATACACTCGAAAGGCAAAATAGTAATTTGATAATTATTTAACCCTAAAATTTTAAAATGTTATAATTAGACATTATTTGGTAAAAATAATGTTAGATTTGGATTCAGAATGAAATTTGGAAGTGGATAGGCATTTTTTTGGAAAATTGATGAATAGTGATTTTAAGCAGATGAAATATGTAACAGCCTGTTACGTACCGGTGTTGTTAAGATTGATTATGATATTAAGCATAGTTACAATCACAGCACTTCATTTAAAAATGCGAGTAAACTTTTTCCTTTTCATTACGTAAGCATTTTGTGACACCCTCCCATGTACGCGTCCAAGGGAGTTATCTGCTAAGCGGATTAGAGTCGTGACAGAAATAATTTAACATAATTAAAACGCACTTTGGAATCACAATACATTATCTGGTATTAAAGTCTGGTTGTACAAAAAAAATCAGAGTAAAACTCGTGAAAATACATAGCTGGCTGAAATTACCGTTTTCCAAAAATCCTTGTTGTCTTGTAAAAAAAATCATATCAATTCAAGTTCAACAGCTTAAAAAAACTTTCTTTGACACAAGGAAACTAGACATCCGGGGCGTCGCGTGAATATAAAAATTATTTTATTTTTTTTTGTAAATATATAAAAATTATTTCATTCGGAGGTATTTAGCCCCTCGAAACAGAACTCGCAAGATGAAAGATAAATCAGTGAAAATGTTTCAAAATGACCTGACTTGCAAAAATCATAATAAATCGAACTTTCAGAATTTCATTGTAAAGTTTATATAATATGAAACTAGACATCTGGGGCTTCGCGTGCATATAAATTATGTGTCATTCGGAGGTCTGTAGCCCCAGATACCGAACTCGCAAGGTACTCGCGAAAGTAGTTTAAAAATTCAGAATTGAAAACGTACATGAATTTTTTGCTAAATAATACTAGACTTTCACAAGTTACAAACAGACCCCAAAACCCAAATACAGCAATTAAAACATACTCTAACATTTTCTTACAACATCTCAAAAACAAATATTACAGCCTACTATAACGAGCAGCCAATAAGCAACAGAAATAGCATGTCAACATCAAAATTCCCAAAATGGCAGCAGCAAATAAACAAGACATCTCCAATACAAGTGCATCCTCGAATGCCTTTTCGTACTCCTGCAATTTATGAAAATTGAGCCCCCAAAGGGGTGAGAAAAATCTCAGTAGTGTGATAGTAAAACCAGTAAAGCAACAATATTAGACTAGGTACAAAATTCCAAAACAGTCGCATCAACATTTAACTTTTCCGGACAGATGCTAACATATAATCATAGTGCGTATATAACGCCAAAGTACTAATCATATTGCGTATATAACGCCAAAATACTATCAAGATGCGTATATAACGCCAAAGGTGTACGTTCATAGCACTGCAGTGCACGTACTAACAAGCACAGTGGAGATCCCATAGTGGCTCCTCAAGAGGGTTCCAACTGCGACCTATGCGGACTGAAGCCAAGTGTCCCATACCTTGGTACCGGAGGGATGCCTATATGATGCGTGCTCAAACGTATGCTTACTTTTATTATATACTTCGGTTTCCAGAATGAATGCATAATGCTGGATGCTATGACATGTTTGGCACACACAACAGAAACAAATGAATCATGAGTGGATATGCATGACTAGATCATAATAGCATATATTTCTCGTACTTTTAATTCCAAGCTGCCGAATCACAAATAATTCCCCAAAACAGAATTTCCATCATGTCAAATCCAAAGGCAGAATACATATAACATATAACCGAATACTAATCATAGGCACATGTGAGCATCAATTCAAAATTCCATACGCTAGCTAATAGTCACAATAGGTCTCACCACCAAACACTTACCTGATACTTTAGCTTCCTAACCGAAACAGCCCCAAGTCCGTCCAACACCCTTGAGTTTTATGAACCTAATCAAAAGTACCAAACAGAATTTCTTTACTTTATTTATTTACAAATCACAAGGTTCCATTCAGAATTTATGCTCCTAGGACCAAGTTCATTTTTTGACTTTTAAACTAATTTTCCATGCTTTCAGCTCCTATGATTTCAATCGAATTATCATGCATCCCATGTTATTTAATTTTCTGTTTTAACTTTAATTTTGCCAAAGGTTAACAAATGACATAAATATAAATCCCTAAGCATTTTATTCGGTTGTCTTTACCATTAATTAGGTGCTACAAATTATCCTTTACATAGCCTCTCCTACCATGTTAAGGGTGCGCAGAGGAACTTAAGGCATGCTGTCTACAAAGGTTATAAGCGCATGCAATCTAGATTAAAAATTAGAATTTAAGGTTCTTGTGCTCATTTAATTTTTCCAATCATAGAATTTATTACACCACTAGATAACAAGTGACATAGCGTTGATTCTCTATGCCTGTGGTTTCGGTTTCTTGTCCATTAAATAGGTGCCTTTGGTTTTTCATTTACATAACGTTGCCACATGATTTAGGAGAGTAATACAAGAGCTGTCCAAATAGGTCTAACACATGCAAAGCTTGATTCAATAGGAATTCATGATTTTTACATTGATTTAATTTTTCTAACATGGAGTTTGTTTCATGCTTTCTATGTTAATTATATTTCTGCCTTTAGTTTTATCTTACCAATCACTAGCAAGTAACAAAAGAATTCCAAGGACCCACACATGTAGGTTCGGCTTGGCCAGCAACAAGGTGCACAATGATAATTTATTTACATAAAATTTTCTGCAAGACTTACGTGTGAGTGGACAAAGCCTCTAGTAAGCTGTCCATATAGTTTCAATACATGCCATGTTTAAATCAAAACAGAGTTCATGGTTCACTGCCTATATAATTTTAATCCTACCACATATAATCAAATGACAAACTCCCAAAGGTACCTATACATGCAGATTCGACTCTATAGTCCTTACCAAGGTTTATCTTTTTATTTTAACATAACATGACTTGCAATCAACAACATCTCAAGGTCCTTTCAATATACAGATTCAATTTTTTTTAAGACAATTACTCCTATTAATTCTACTTTTCTATACTTAACACTTCTTATGTCACTTAAGCATGATCATAACATTTTTAGCATGTTGTCCTTGTAAATTAACACATACCAAGACATATACATCATTCTAACTCAACCAAAACAATTTCACAATTTATGAGAGCTGTTTCTATGCCCCAATCGATTCCTAGGCCTGAGTAAATATATTTTAGCAAGCTGCCCTACACAAATTCAACATGTGCAAAGCATAAGTAATTTTTCTAATTCAAGGCAGTTCCAAATTTTACTATGAACCACAATACCAACTCACAATTTAATTACAAGGCTTATATGCACCAACTTCATAGCTGTACAAAATAACAGAGTTAAGACAATGGAAATTACTAACAAATACAATACCCTCCTAATCAAACATGAGAGAACCGAATGGTGAGGCAAGAAGATAGGTGTAACACCTTGTATATATCCGGTAATGTTATCATACTATCGTATTAAGCAGCGCTTAATTAAAAATGCAAAATATCTTTTTCTTTTCGATTATGATGTCATTATCATTACCAACTTGCTTATTAATCAATTAATAAAACATCGCCTATATGTAATTGCAATAAAACAACTAACTGAAATACCTCAACATAGATAATAAAAGTGTGTCTCTAGAATCACGGAACTACCGCAAGTAGGCCAGACCAACTAGCAGGTTATACAACTCCAATCTAAAGGTACTAACATAAAGTGTCATGGACAATCCTCATGCTCACTCAAATAAGGCAACAAGCCCAACATCAGTCTCAACAACAACATAATCATAAATAGCGGGAAACATAAAAAGCATCCAAATCCAGTCATGGCAGCAATACAACATAATATCATAATCAGCTAAGCTCTGGCCTACTGCCGCCAGAGGCATCAGTCACCATACTACCTGAACCTGAAATAAGCATTCCCCAAACGTGGGGTGAGATCTCTAAATAAGAAATCTCAGTA